TTCCGTTAACTTCATGCCGGATGCGAGTGATGGTGGTGGTTGAAGAGGACGTGAAAAATTTTACTTTTTTTGGGAATACTGTTTGTTTTTAGTTTTCTTCTTGTTTTTTTCTTTTTTTTTTTTTTTTTTCCTGTTGTACGCAAAGAGTCCATGGGGCCCGTAGTTGTCATTGATACGCTTTGAAGCAGCAGGGGAGAAAGTAGAATTTAAAAAAAGGGATGGACTGCGGTGATGCGGACGGTGTCATTGCCGTGTCCGAAAAATAGAGGCCTCGGAGCGCAAAGCCTTTTTTAAATACATCACTCGACGGTTGGCAGGGAGTGTTTTGCTGTCGGCGCAGCCTCAGGGACTTCAAAACATGTTTTGCATTTGCCTGTGCCCGGGCTTTTCAGAGTAAAGAAGTAACACCATGACAGGGAGGGGGGACGGTGAAACCCTTAACGGGGGCAGGTGTCTGCGATGGAGCCGGGGACGCAACTTTCGATCCCGCGAGGAGTGAAATGCGCGGTACTCGGTGGCTTTGACGAACGATGCGTGAGCTTTTAAATGTGATGAGGGAAATTATTTGCGTCCCCGGTCGAATTGCGTGGCTTCAGCGCAGATGAAGATTTTGCTGCCGGTCATGCGACGGGAGAACCATTTTTTCTTGACATACGGGAGGTGTTGACAATGTCTTTGGCTCTGAAACGGGCTAAGGACGTTCTTTTTTGTCAACTTGCAACCGGCTGGCTGCGCGCTCTGCAGCAACACCGAAGTCAAGATGCAGAAGTTTGACTTTTCGCCGCTTGTATCTCTTGTAATAACTACGATAAAAAAGAATTCAGGTTTTTTCGTGGAGTGATGTATAGAATTGAGACGCCATTCCTCTCAGGGTGTGTGCACCATCTTGCCTTTTTGTCATGCATCCTTCCTTCGACAATGAAAGCGGTCATTCTTAAACGGATTCGGAATGCCGTTGCACGTTGGTTTGGCCAAAATGAGGAAAGGAGCGGAAGAAACGGCAAGAGCAGTGCGTGTGCGTTGTCAGCATCCCTGAAACGTTGGGTGGGCCGCACTTATTCTCGTTATCTTATTTGTTTTCTCTTACAGGAGAGACAGACATCATGGAACGTGAAGCACCTTCAGTTATTCTAAAAAACGGTACTGTGTTGCATTTTATAAAAGTTATTTTTATTTTTTTCCTTTTATATATATAACAAAGTAGTGGAGTATCGGGCTGCCGTATTCGAAGAAGGGGCGATGAATGCGGGCGCAGTCCCCGTAGAGGGTATACTGAAGTACATGTTCACCAGCAATTTAACGTGGCCCCTTACCATCATCATCATCATCATTCGGAAACGAAAGAAGAAATGTGTATCCTTTCAGTGGTGGCTTGGATATCTGATCATGAAGCGTATTTTAGCCTGGAAATTGAACGCACTGAGGAGCGCATGGCCAAAGCCATGTGGCAACATGAGAGGCTTTGCTCGAGAACTCCGTGAGAAATCTGTCAACGATTGTAAAAGTTCAACAGTTATTGTAAGTGCCGAAGGTATAATTGAAAATGATTTTCTTGTTGTTTTTGTTGTTGTTGTTAGTATTAGGCGGGCGGATAAGAAAAAGATCTTCGCATGCTTCTTTGCGTCTGTTGGCTCCCATTGCAATTCCTATTTTGTATTGTTTTCTTTTTTCGTTGTTGTTGTTGTCACTGTTTTTCTTTTATTTATTATTATTATTTTCGTGTGTGCGTGGACTCCGGCTTGTAGCCAGCACGCTGCGCATTGGGGGCGGCGGAAACAAAGTTTATGACAATCATCATGGATGAAACCGACACAAGTGTCGCCGGGTTGCCCATAGCGTACTACGTGCTTCTGGCTGAGTTTGACATTGACACCGGATCCTGCTTACGTGTGAAGTATCCGTCTGTCACGTCACGGGTGGAAGAGAACACACATGTCGAGGGAAACACATTGTGTGGTGTGGCTGAGGGGGAGAATGACGTATTGGCGAAGTGGTTTGATGTCTTGGGCTTGGATGACGAATATTGCGCAAGTCACATGTTACCGGATGGTGCCGAGAAGCAAGTGGTTAGCCGAACTATTTTTATTGTCAATCGGTCCAAGCCTGCGAATGTGGATTGCCTTCCCGTGTACTGTTTCACGTTGGCGGGGTCAACACGCGCGAAGGAGTTGGAAATAACTTGTCTAAAATCGGATGCACAGTCGGAATGGGTACGACACACGTCAACTGGGGAAGCATTTCTACATGAGGAGTTGCATTACAATCAAACTACAGGGGAAGTACTTGTTCGCTCCAAAGGCAGTGTGGTGTGGGGCCCTTTAATGGCCCGAGCGCCCGACGCATTTCAAGTATTTCCTACTCTTCCAAGGAGGGTTGCTGCCTTTGCCCAAGAAATAGAGAAGGGGTTTGCGTCACAGAACGCGAATGGAGCAGGTATAAGAGATTCCTTGGAAAAAGATACGGCGCCGTTTTCAAATAGTACTTTGGTGTCACCGGCAAATATTGCGGGATATTCATTCTTTGTGATTTATGTTGACTCGAAGTATCATGGATTTTTAACGCAGTCGACACAACTGGAGCTGTTGATGAAGTCGAAAACGATGCCACAACCACCACCAGGGGCAGGAACAACGAGAGAGGAGGAAGAGAAAGGAAATTCGTCAAGTAGGGTTTTGCACCGCACCGAATCCTCCAATGTGCCGCCCCTCTACGGTCTCTGTGCAGTGGTGACGCGCCAAGATTCCTCCGTCAGGCGTGGTGGTATCAGTAAGAGTGTGGCTCTTTTAGGGCCCAAACTGGTATGGCTTGAGTCTTTTTTCCCAATTCTTGTTGAGACGGCATTGCAGTGCTGCGATATAAAAGGAAAAACAGAGGAGGCATTGGAGCAGCAGACGGTTCTGGTGCGACGCTGCTTTGAAGCTGTTGAGAAGGCGACATGCGCCTTACAACGCTCTATTCGCGATGTAGCAGGAATTTCTTTGGAACACGAAGTTATGCGTCGTTTCACCACAAGTGGTAGACAGGCGAATGTCTCATGCGCTGTCTTGCCCTTTGGGACGTCGCACAGTTTGCACATTCCCCTTTTTCCTGAAATGTACGATTTTGTTTTTTCGCGCTATGGTTTGGAACAAATGGTTGAGGTTTGTGGCGCATCCTTTTGGACGGTTGTTATGGCTATATTATTAGAAAAACGTGTTGTGGTTCTCTCCCGACAAGGACTTGCTAATGACGTTTGTGAGGCCGCGTTGTCCCTTGGTCTCATTGGTAACCTGTTGGACCCTCATTTCGTGACAAAAAAAGTGTTTCCCTACACATCTGTGAATGGACTCTCTCATTTTTGCAGTGTTCCTGGATACATTGTGGGCACATTAAACCCTATCTTTGAGATGCAGCACACCTGGTGGGATGTTCTATGTGATTTGGACAATAAGTGTGTCGTTTTGTCTCCCGAGTGTAATAGCATTAGCCAATGTAACGGCACTGGGATTGCTGGTGGAAAGACAAGCGGTTGGGCGACACAAGATGCGCAGTTTGCCAAGGATATCCTTAGTAAAGTATACCAAATGAAAGTTATGCGAAAAACATTACAAGAACGGAATCACTTGATTTGTTTAATGCTGGAAGAATACTTTGCGTTGATGATCATGGTGGGTGAGGCGCCTGACCACATCCTTAGTCGTTTTATGCAAACGAATTTTCTAACACCAAGTTTTGCTCGGCTTCGGGCGCTTGCACAAGGAAGTTCACTTTTCAGTGGTATGCCAGGGCGTCTTCTTCTTCCTGGTGAGGATCCATCGTTAATTATTGCTGCTGCCACTCTACGCCGAGCTAGTAACTGTGATGAGATGGAGTTGATACGAACACTAAACCATCTTCTTAGCTTTTTATGCTCATCTAAGGAAGTTATCCTTCTGTTGCGGCGCATGCCACTAGCTCTGGGGGGGTTGAATCCACTTGCATCGCAGCTTCTTCACACCTCACCTCTAGTGCGTCAGGCAGCTCTGGAGCTGATGCGACGTGTGGAGGTCTTTCCGCCTGGTAGAGACGCCATTGCAGCGATGAATAGTTTTTTTTGCATGGTGTACGAGTCGGCTTCTCGGGATGCATGACGTCGGTTCAACGGAAAGGTGTTTGGACCGATGTTTGTGGACTTATGATGACGCTGCATGGATGCCGTTATCACAGATGAGCGACTGTAATGATGACAGAATCCAGTGCACTTCCTTTTTTTTTTCGTGTGTGTGTGTGTGTGTTGCTTGGCGCGTATTTATGTGTGCCGTTCTTTTTTCTTTTCTTTTTTCTTTTTTCTTTTTGCCTTGAAGAATTTTTCCAATTCAACGCCGTTATTATTTGTGTTACGATTTCCAGCTTCACAGTTGCGTGCATACCACCACCACCGCCATTATTATTATTATTATTATCACTTATTTGACGATTTTGTTGTTGCTGTTCTTTTGATTGGCGCTCCCCGTGCCCGATGGACAAGTGGACTGGGCGGGTGCAGGCGGTCTCAAACAGCGTGGCTGCTGTGGATGTTTCTGTTGGGGATGTTGTGAAGGTGCTTTTAGCCGTCGCGGAGCAGTACGCGGCCGACATGTCTCCGGTAGAGGCGATGGGTAGAGCCATCAGTCAGGGCATCGCAAACGCCTCCGCAACCCTTGTTAGTTGCCTCACAGATCTTGCCACAATGAGCGAGGCGATGAAAGACGCCATGAACGCAAACCCAAAAGAGGCGCATAGTCTGATGATGAATCTTTTTAATGTTTTTGTCAAACAGCTCACAGTTTACTACAAGGAGAATTATGAGGCTTTCAAGAAGGCAGAGGTGACGCTGCGCCAGCAGAGGGCTCTCTTTTGGAGTCAAAAAAGTGAGATGGAGACAAACAACGACAATACGAGCGATTTCACGCTTCTTCCAGCAGAAGAACCATCACCTTTTAATATTTCCCTTGTGGCGTTTAATACCCCTAAAGAGGCGAAGAAGAAATCCGCCGATGGGAAAAAGAAAAAGACACGTGATTCCAGTAAAGATACCTCCGTGGTCCTTCCTAGTGAACAACATAGCGAAAAGCAACAAGGGAAGCCAGCGAAAGGTGAGGGGGGCGGAACGAACGTATGCGTTGATGCACCTTCAACAAACGTCGCCGAAAAAAATGAAACGGCACAGCAGGGGAATGGGGGAGATATTCCAAGTAAAGTGAAGTCTTTTTCAACGGAGCCGGTGGTAACTGTGAAGGAGCCTATATATCTTCACGTGGCCTCAACGGTCGAGGATGCACTTGGACGTCTGGTGTTGTCTAGCAGACCAAATGTTTTTACCGCACCAGAAGTGATTGAGAATCGGGCTCCCATAGCTACCTACTACATTAAACTTCCAGCACCAGGATCAATGGGGCCGCTTCTACTCTCAAATTATATTGCGTTAGGGGATGATATGCAGGCAGACTTGATGTGTGACATTCTTCAGTCCGATTGTGTGGAAGTGGTACCATTTGAGTCGCCTGCCGGGGAAATCATCGTGGAGAATCCATCAGACCTTCACGAATTGCCCGCTTGTGGTTGGCGTGTAGGCTCCAGCGAGGACCATCGGCAAGCGTTTTATACTCTTTATATTTTAGTAACTCGTGGAGAAAAAATGACACCTTCACTCCTGATTCAGGAATCCCTTCTGATTGATTCGGAGCCGCAAGAGGTCATGCACGAAATTACTGCAGTTCCAGATGCACCACAAATTGCCAAAGTTACAGTGCGAGGTTTTGGCCCAGCGCCAGCGCGGAGCGCCTCACCAACAAAAAGATACACTAGCGATCGTCTGTTGGCTATTGTAAATATTACAAAAAGCACATACGAAAGGAATGGTTTTGTAGAGATCAAAAAGGAAGAATTGCGTGCATTGGTGCGGCAAATGCACCCGCATGAGCTACAGCTGCTGCGAGAAGAAGAACTACTGACAAGGCCGAATAGCAATTTAACGACGGCAGCGGCAGCGTTTCAAGGCACGGTTGAGTTGGCGTCCCTTGAACAACCTGGAGAGCAGCAGGGGTGGGGTTTGACTGACGTGGCAAAAGGGGCCGTGCGGGGAGCCGCTGCTGTTGTGTTGGCCCCTGTTTCTGTGGGTAAAGTTGTTGGGAACGCCGTGCTTGACGCGTCGGGTGTAACAGGTGCCATTAAGCAGCAGAAGGAGGTTCTTTTTCGAAAGTCTTTTCCAAACCTTTCTTCTGAGGAGATAATTGAAACGTTTAGTTGTGCCCTCGTAGACGATGGCAACCCGATCCCAAAGCAAGGCTTTGTTTTTATTACCCCACGCTGGCTTTGCTTCCAGGCCGGTCTCTTAAGCGCAAACTTTAGCTTGGAGTGGGATGAAATTAGAGATATTCAAAAACAGCGAACTGTCAAGGTACTGGAAAACGCCATTGCTATACAAACACACTTGGGTGGGACGTACTTCTTAACATCCTTTGTCCAGCGAGATCAAGCCTATGCTGACATGATGAAACAATGGCTAAGAAGGTAACCCGCAATTATTTTTTTCGCTACGTTGTCTCGTGCGCACAACAAAAATTTTTTATTACTTTTGGAGGGCGGTGTTCTTGTTGCTTTTGCTTTTCTTATTTGCTTTTGCAGCGCGTACTGGTGGTTCTTGCAGAAAAATATATATATATATATTTTCCCCTTTACTGTTCTAAATATAGTGATGGATGTTGCGGTGCGCCGTCCGTGAATGTGCTGCTGTCGCCTCTCTCAACTGTACGTATCCCGTCGCAATGGACCCCGCGTTATTATTGGTTTCACTTAATTATTTTACCGCCTTTTTTGTTTTTGTTGTTATTATTGTTTCTCCTTTTTTTTTTTTTTTTTGGATTTGTCTGTTATCTTTTCTTCCTCCTTGTGCAAGATATGTATTTGTGCGAGTTGATCTTTTTACTTTCCTACACCCATAGCAGTCAGATGTAGGCAACTCCCACCGACTTGGGGGATGTATATTCATTGTTTTGTTGTTGTTGTTGTTGTTGTTGCTTCTGTGATATTACTGCAAATATTATTGTCCACGTCTTTTTTTTTTTTTTTTTTTTCTATTCCCTTTTTTTTACTCTTTTTTCTTCTTCTTTTCCTCGACTGTGCCTGACGCTCAATTATTTGCACGGTGGCAGCGAAGGAAGAAAAGGAGGGAAGGAGGGGAGAACCGTTCACACACGCTCTCATTGCCCGCCCGCCCCACCCTTCAACCATGTCGGACCACACTGTTTATCCGAAACCACTTGTGGTTACGGAGGAGCGGCTGAAGGAGGCTCGCGAGAAGCAACTGAGGCAACAAGCCCTAAAGGAGGCACTGGAAGAGCAAATCGCACAAACTAGACGACGTAGAATCGATCATCACGCTCCTAACAAGAAGAATAATGTGATGAAGGAGGATGGGGTTCGGCGGCAGTATACTTTCACTTATGAGGACGGTCACGGTAGATTTATTCAACGGGACAATTCCCCAGAACCTCGTGAGCATCCAACCCGGACAATCACTGGCACTTCGACTGTCGATATGACAAGTGATAACGCTACCGCACTGAGTATAATTTCTGGGCACAGAAAACCCTTGGAGCCTGTCCCCAGCAAGAATTCTCAGTCAAATTCCTTGCCGCCAAATTTTTCAATGAGCACATCGGAAGCAAACCCTTTAGTACCAAAACGAACCGAGCACAGCGGCCAACCCCTTCCGGTGGATTCCGGGTCCAGTAGTAGAAAACAAAACGGCGGTATGAACAATATCTCGCCGAGAGTACGTGATTTGTTTCCGCAAGGCGCATCCCCTAAGAGTGGTTTGAGGTCTGCGGAGTTAGTCGATGAAGGGGGTTGTCAGAAGAACTGCATTCCTCGCAACTGCAACTTGGAGGATGTTAAACGGTTGCTACAGGGGCCACAGGCATCGCCGCGGCCGGCGCAGCCCCCTGCTGGTGGAGGTCGTTCCCCATTTCCTCTGCGAAATATCCCCCAGAAGCATCATACGGGTCACCTTCCCCCGCTAGATCCTTTAGAAGGGGCAAACGGTAGGCAAAGATCTGAAGAACCTTCGACGGGAGTCGACCTTGCTTTTTCGCCTCCACACGATTTTTTAGGCGCTCATCCTCCGAATGTTAAAAGCCCGCGGCTTCTCAAGTTGAAACAACTATCAACACCACGGCGACTCTCAAATGAGGGACGTGGCCGACCCACTGTAAATGCTTTGGCACCTCGCAACGGTCAGGCGCGGGTGACAGAAAATACGGTGGAGCGGCTGCAAAAGGAGTTGGAGTCTCGCGACGTTCAAATGGCGAAAATGAGGGAAAAGGAGAAGAACTGGGAGGAACAGGTCAAACAGCTGAAAATAGAATTAAAAAGCGCCAAAAAAAAGGAGCGGGATTTGAATAGACTAGTCAAGGAGGGCCCGAGAAGAGCGGAGACGGCGCCTGATCAGCCGTTTCTCTCCCCGCCTACGCTGAGTGCTCCAGGATTACCTGCAAAGAAGGGTTTTGGCGCCCCATCACCCCCTGGACAGGGGAAAAAACAAAAGTTTGCTCGGAGCCGTGTATTCAATCAACAAACATTCCGTCCTATCAGTGCGCCCTCCGATGCCGCCTCAAGCTCCTACGTCCCTCAAGAAGAAAATGTGGCATCACTTATGCAGGAGTCCTTCAAATGTGCTTCTGTTTTGACGCGAAAGACAGCATTTGGTTTACCTGAGGAAAATGCTAACCGTCCTGTACCCATAGAATATGAACATCTCCTGCAATTTGTGAAGGAACAAATCATCACTCAACAGCAGGCGGATGCGTTGTGGCGTCTCTTTAGTAATGAGGAGCCGCCATTGACTCTCCTACGCCGGCAATCTACAGTAGCTCAACCCTCTGATACGACGGTGATCACCAACACTGACAATTATTTAGTTCTTGAGAACGGAATAGAAAACTCTATATATAATGCTAGTGATGCGAAACGGAAGGAAAAAATTTTTAATGAAGAAATAGACAGGAAGGAATTAGTTTGCAGCAATGGGCATGGCCATGAAGAGCTTGAATTGGAAGGCGATACCTTTGAAACATTTGCAGAACTTCACTTGGAAGAGTCTTTTTCTCAGGAAGAGGCGGGTGATGAATAAAAGTGAAAGCTGCTCAGAGTCTATGTATTTGTGGTGTATGAGTGTGAAGATGATGTTTTGGATTAGCGTGTCTGCGTGTCGACACATTTTTGCTATCAGAGGATCAGCTTTGGGTTGATAAGTAGAAGTAAAAAAAAAGGGGTGCTGCGATTGGTTGCCCTTTCGATTTTCCTTTTATTTATTGCTGTTGTTATTATTTTTTTTTCTACGTTTATCATTATTATTATTATTATTATTATTCCATCCATCCATCTTTGCAGGTTTTTTTTTTTTTTGCTGTTTGTATGTGTATTTTACTTGCGTGCTTCAGCTGCTGTGACTTTTTCTACACATATATACTTCATTTTGTTACTCATCGGTGTCTGTATGTATATATGTGCGTATGCGTGCAATATGAAGAATGTACAAATTTCCCTGGCAGTGTTTTTGTGTGTTTGTTTGTTTTTTTTTCTTTTTCTTTTTGTGTGTACTGCTGCCTCAATTCTTTTGCGTGTAGTTTGGTATTCAATGATCGTCAACAATGATGAACGGAGCATTGACTTTAGTCAAAACCCATCAGGCGAACTAGACGATGAGGTGCTCACATCTCTTCGTGACGCATTACAAGGCAATGATAACTACTGTAAGCTTGTTTTTGACAACAATCGTCTAAACGACGACGCAATTGGCATTCTGGCCGCTATTTTGAAGGGGTCTACCCCCATTGAGCACTTGTCTCTCTCTTCATGCCAATTTCGTGACGTGGATTTTACGCATATTGCCAACGCCCTCTGTGTAAAGAAAGTGTTGAGGCACCTCGATTTGTCAAAAAACCCCGAAATCACTAGCGCGGCTGCAGCGGATCTTTCACGGGTCATTCGAACACTGCCGTCATTGCGGACTCTTCTGTTAATTGGAACAGGCCTTCAGCCAAAAAACTGCTCAAATATTCTTGCCGCGTTGAAGCAGAGCCCATCCCTTAAAGTGGTGGAGTTGCCGTACACGGTGGGCTTCAAAGTCCTCGACAGCTTCCGGAAATTGCTTGAGGAGAGGAACGGTGACGAATTAGAGGATTCGCAGAAGAAGAAAAAGAAAAAAGCCGCGAAATCTGAGGCAGCGCCGACGGATTCGGGGGATGGGGCTTTTTGTTGTTCCAAGTGCGATACGTGGAAGGCGACTTCTATGCCAAAACTTGTCTTGCCTCCGATCCATGCATCTCAAACAGCGGGACAAAAACCCCTCTCGAAGTCATGCGGTCCCTCCAACTCTTTGCGGATGATGGAATTTCGTTGTTGGGCGGACCCGGCTGTTAAAAACGCCGCCGTCCACCTTCATGTACTTGACAAACGGTGCCATCTTTGGGAAGTTTACCAGAAGGAAAAGAAAGAAAAAATTCTTGCAAGGCGTGGTGTAGACGAAAAGAATCGGGCTGTAAAAGTACGCTCACGGTACGGTGGCTATGATGCCTGCCCAAATCTTTAGTAGTTGAGAGAAGAACAGCAAAAACAACAACAAAAAGGAGACACACCTTATAGTTGCGTATATGGTTAGAAGATAGTCTGTTGTTGTTGTTGTTGTTGTTGCTGATTTTGTTGGTGGCTACGGAATGGAAGGAATAATATTTATTTTTATTTCTTTCTTAGCCGGTTTTGTTGTTGTTTGCCGTGCGACACGCATCTTATGTTGTTGCGTGGTAACAATATTTTGGTTCCCCCTTTTTTCTGCATGTTTATTTTGATCTTTTACTCTTGCTTCTTGCGTATACTCACTGGGGCTGCGTTGATCTTTTAGTTGTTTTTCGGCGCACGCTCATATAGAGTACACCCTCTTCCTCTTTCACTCATGTAGGTACTTTTCTGTGTACCTATCCGTCTGTCTGTCGGGAATTGGCTGTGGCTTGCTGTTGTTGACATGATAACACCTTGTGTTCTGGGATTTGTTGTTTTTTTTTGTTTTTTTGTTTTTTTGTTTTTTGTTTGTTTTTTTCACTTCTGTCCTTATGTTGTTTTTTTTCTGGCGGCTCTGCGAAAGGGGAGTACTGAGACCGTGAGAGGGCGTTTGTGAAACTGATTTTCAATGCGTTACTTTAGAGTACTGCACAATTTTGACGCACAGGACGGTGTGGAGCTTACCGTCAAGAAGGGCGAAACCGTTTTCACGGCGGAGAGCGAGGTGCGGGAAGGATGGATCAAAGTGGAGGTTCTCCATGACCCGAGGCGACGCGGATTTGTTCCGTTCAATTACTTGCGCGAGACGACAGAGTCCCTTTCGAGGGAACAGGAGGAAGGGAGCAGAGGCATTGGAAGAGAATTGGGTGGGATGTCAACCGCACCCATGACACGTCAGCCCTCTGCGGTTCCAAGGGAGACATCTGTGACGTTTACGTCTGGTGCGTTAGATTACGGTGATAAACTGCAGAACATGTACGGTGTTGGCGCCTCGGCCCCAAGCCCGGTTTCTCAGCGCAGCCGGTCTGCCGAGCAGAGCATGAGGCGTGTAAATGAGAACTCAATGACAACGGCAACAAAAGGGGCAGTGATGGAGTCTTTGCTGCCCTCCCAAAAGGTGCCGTCCTCCCCTCCCAGCGGTGCGGATCCTGTACCAGAGCGATCACTGCTCAACAATCCAAGTGCGATTGTTGAAGCGTTTATGAAAAACGAACTCCACTTCAAGCAGCTCATCCGGCAGCGTCAGGATGCTCTTGCGCAGATGCGAACAACAGTCGAGGAAGCGATGTCCGAGTTAGCAGCGTGCAAGGAGAAGAACTTCACACTGGCGCGCAAACTTCGTGAATTGGATCAATCCGTAGAAAAGGAACGGGGACGTTGGAAGGAGAGAATCATGGAAGAAAAGGCGTACATCAGCCGATCCATGTCTTCCGAGTAGTTTGTTCCTCTGCTAACCGGCATCTTCTTCTACACGTTTGTTACACTTCCGCGGAGGGTATAGAGAAGTAATAAAAACACAGAGGGACGCGTAGAAAAAAACTCCGCTTCCAACGGTTTAATTGTATCATATCTTTTTGCCTTCTTTCTACCTGCATTTTCCTGTCATCCGCCATTTATTAATGTTTTGTTTTTATTGTTGTTTTTTGGTTTCCAAGTGCATGCAATTACTTGTTATTATTATTATTATTATTATTATTATTATTATTATTATTATTATTATTATTCTTTATCATGACTCTCTACTTCCATCGATGATAAGTTTTTTTTTTTTTCTTAAAATACTGAGAAGAGCGGTAGGAAAAAATGAATAAGGAAAGAAATAAGTCCGGGTTGTCACCTGCTGTGACAGTATACGGCAGTCTTTTATTAAACATCGTCAGCAGTGTTGGTGTAGTTATTATAAACAAGCGTCTGGTGTACATGGAGGCTGGTTTTCGGTTTGGAATTGTCCTTACAGTTATTCACTTTATCGTCACTTTCTTGGGATGCCTGTTGTTTGCTTGGCTGAAGTTCTTTGAGGTTAGTAGCATTCCAATACTGAAGGTAATTCCCATTAGTCTGGCATTTTGCGGGTATGTGGTATTCAACAATCTCTCGCTCCTTACGAACACAGTGAGCGTGTATCAAACCTCAAAGATTGCCTGCACACCTCTCATTGTCTGGATCGAGTACACGCTTTACCACCGGCGTGAGAACCGACGGACATTGTTATCTTTAATACCCATATGCGTGGGGGCCGCACTCACGGTGTATTCTGACGCCAGCCTGAATCTCATGGGAACCCTCTGGGCACTTCTGGCAATTCTTTCCAACTCCTTATATACAGTCTGGGGAAAGACAAAACAGTTGGAACTGGAGGTGACATCCATGCAATTGTTGATGTATCAGGCTCCGCTTAGTGCCTTGCTGCTGGTTTTTGCTGTTCCCATTGATGGTTTAGGGGAACTGGTTTCCTTTGAAATGACATTCAAGGCAGTTTGGGCGATTGCACTTTCATGTCTACTTGCATTTGGTGTGAACTTTTCGTTTTTCTTGTTTGTGGGCCGGACCTCCCCTCTTACTATGAACGTTGTGGGGTACTTCAAGACGGCGTTGGTCTTTGTTGGTGGCTTTATGTTTCTCTCATCGGAGATGAATGCAAAAACTTTTAGTGGGGTCGCGTTAACTCTTGTAGGGTTGTTGTTTTACACCCATTCCAAGATGAACGGACTGTCAGCCCCGTCGTATTCAAGAGAAAAGATTTAAGGCGCAGAGTGTCTGCGAGCGAACGTGGGGGAGGGGGTGGACGAAGACCGGAAAAATAAATAAATAAATACATTGATGGAGTCATGTGTGTGTTTGCATGGACAGGGTTAATGTGTAGTAATACACATTGTATCCATCCGTGTCCATACATAATGTTTCTTTCTATTAAGTCTTTTTTCTTTCTTTTATTATTATTATTATTATTATTATTTTTTTTTGGTTGATGTTTTTCGTTGTTGTTGCCTGTTGGGCAGGCGATTAAAATAAGCGTTTGATAAATAAAGAGATTGATCGATGCGTATAAACGTATATATACATATATATATATATCTTTACATGCAAAGAAATTTACTTACATACACGCGTACATTTTTTATTTGCGTTGCTTGAGAATAACACGCACATGACTGAGTTACTGGAGGGTAAATGCGCATGTATGGAAGAATTTGCCGCGTCTGCGATACCCACTGTGCTGCTGCTGTGGCGCGGGAGGACAGACGACGCTGCAGTGGCACACGGGAGTCATTTGGATGTGGTCCATCAGTCGATTTTGCTGTATTTGCTACGGACACTTGATGGCATGTGTGGATCGGATGTGAAATGCGTGGAACAAACAGAAAGTGCGCTGAAACTGCGTCTTCTCCTTTGGATTTCTTTCAAGGCGCTGTATTTGGAGCCCCCCGGCGGCGGTCATGAATTCCCGGGAGAGTGGAGAAGTGAGGTGCTTCGTGACAGCAAGGCTGCGGAGAGAATATTGGCGTCTGATATATTTTTGGGCAATGGGGGTGCTGTACATTGTCAGAAAGTAGAGGTCTTGTCGTGGCTTGTGGTGGAGGTTCTTCTTCAGTACCGTTGTTATTGGGAGCATGTAGACATGTGGGGTTCTGTTGAGGGTTGCCGCACGCATCCGTTTATTTTGTGGGCCGTGGGGAATCTCAGTGAGGTGGGCACCGAAGGAGCCCATCCGTGGGCACTTTCGTGCGTGCAGCAGCGGGCCGTGGAAATGATTGTTTTGCTTGGGGCCGACGCCGTGTTGCTTGAAAGAAACAGAGAATTGTTTACGGACGCCTATCTTCGCACGCTTGTTGCGGCAGGGCGTGAAATTTTCACCCCCGAGCTTTTTGGGGGGTTAACGAGCAGCATTCGTGACGGTTTGATCCGCGGCGATCGTCTGTACCACGACGATCTGTGCGTCCTTTTGGAGACTTTGCGCCGCCACGTGTCTGTTGACACGGACGAAGGACGCGTGCGTGATTTGCGGACCGTCATTGATGTTCTTTTAAATACAGCGTGTCCCTTTTCTTGCGAAAAGGAGATTATGCGTGGCGTGGAGGCGGTCTGTGCATGGTTTGAGTTGCTTGGCCTTCAGGAGGACTATCGCCACGTGCTCACGGAGGGTGCCATTGACGGTGAGGTGCTGCGCTCCGGTCTTTCGCTGCACGAGGTGCAACAAATGGGCATCCGAAACGAAATGGACGCCGCGTCTTTGCTGCGGGTTTTAGCTGCTCGCCCAAATCACAGAGTGATGCCCGGTGATTCACGAATGTGAGTCCATGTTTGCATGTAACTTTGTTTTCTCTCTCTCTTTCTCTCTTTAGCCCCAGCTCTGTTTTCAGTGCGTGATGTTTATATAAATACACATTCAACCCTGCTTGTAGATTTGTTGGTGCACTTGGCGTGGTATACATTTTCTTTTTATCCTTTCTTTTTTTTCTTGTATATATATATATACATATATGTATATATATGCCGTGTGTAGTTGTTGTTGCTGCTTGTACTTTGCCACAGGGCAACCGCACCGTCAGCAAAGCAAGACCGTAAACGACGAAAGAACGCTCCCAATGGTGTAGACCGGCCGATTCCCCAATCCGAAGGGTTAGCAATATTTATTAGTATCAATACAAAAGTACATACATACAAGAACGTGTATATACATATATATATATATAAAAATAAAAACTAAAATTAAAATAAAAAACGAGGTGCTTGGAAGTTTTCTCAGAAGAACTCAGCGATAAAAAACAGAAACAAAAAGAAGATCGCAAGGGAAAACAAGCAATCAAACGTCGACCCGCGCAGCCCGGAAACGCAAACTGGGGTGAGTGGGTAAAGGAAGTAAAACGGAAAGCGGATTGGGACCCACAATAACTCCAAAAAGGAACCCCAGGCGGGGTCAGAGCCATGGAAAATGTCTCTGACAACCACATGAACGGAGGTAAAGGGGACGACTCCTTAGAGGATCTTTACGCCTGTGACAGTTTGTTTGACGAGAGCGGCTCCGAGGATGATTTATTTCTCGCCGCTAATGTTGAAGAGCAGCTTCTGATGCCTTTCTCGTGTTTTACCGAGAAGGATCTACTGAGCGTCTTCAATGTCTCCGCACCGTACGGTGACCCTGTGCGTCTGCATCCCGAAGAAGAACCTCCAAAGGAGACGCGACTGGAGGGCCCTGGGGTCCTGCGGGGTGTTCGTATCCCTTCGCCGAAGAAGAAAAGGGAAACATGCACGCACCGGAAGAATAAAAGCAGCACGGAGAAGAATACTCGACCTGCGGGCAAGAGGAAAGAGAAGCCATCGAATACTTCCTCAAATCAAACTCGACGCCTGCGCACGAAAGGGTTCATAAAGGCTCTTACACCGGATGACCTCAAGGACGATGAAGACTACAAGCGCTAGTCATTCACAGCTTCTGAATTTTGGGCTGTTAACACCGATGGGAACGGGAGAGATTCCGCAAGTATTCCCGATCCCGGCCAAATGGAGGTGTTTTTTGTGGTGATCCGATGCGGTCCCACAAAAACCGGGCTTATTGCTCCCAATGTTATTGAAAACAAAGAGAGGAAGAAAAAAAAGAAAAAAAAAGGAGAAAAAAGAGAAAAAACTATGTGCGTAATTCTTTTTTTTGGGAGGGGGGGAGGGGGTTGGTTCGTCTTTTTAATTAATCGAAGAGGAGTAATTGATAAAATGGAAAACGGAGGCCGATGTGGAGTCGTGGTGGTGGTGGGGTGGTGAAGGGAGGGCCGGACGGCAGGGCTGTGGAGGAGCGTCACTTTACCGCCACCCTGCCTCCTGCTCCACGACACCCCCGCCCCCCGCAACGACCTTTTGCACATGCCTCTGCAAATAAGTGGATGTTTCAGAAGGAAGAAGAAGAAAAAGTCTTTTTTTTTTTTTTTTTTTTGCTTCTGGGAGTAGGAGAAAAAATAAGGGGAAGAGGACGTTATGATGTTGGAATGCTTCTTATCTGTACATTCGCCGTATTATTAATGCTTGTTTGGTTTTTTTTTTTTCTTGTGCTTTTCTTCCGGCTTTGGTTGTGTTTTTCTGGGCATGACTGACCGTTTTATTTTTATTTTTTTTCCGTTTTGTGGTGGGGGGAACATGTCACAATATTTTACTGCGCATCCTGGCACCGCAAAAAAAAAAAAAAAAGAACTGGAAATTAGTGGTAGCTCCTCCAAGCAGAATATTTAAAAATTTGTTTAGGCAAATGACGCGTTTGATTAATTACTTTTTAGGCCTTTTATTTGTCGTGTTCTTTTTTCTGCCCTGCAGGGCTTATGCAGGGGAAGAGGTATTGGCGCCAATGTGTACTGAGGTCATAGGCTTTGCTGGGGAGTACAACAGTCACATTCGCATTGGAGTTCCAGTGTCTCCAGCGGAGAATGAGGCTATCGTACTTGTTCTACGGGCCTTTCCGCTGAACTTGGGTGAACTCTCTCAGCGGTGGATACAAATGAACGTTACGTACCGTCTGCGTGAGGGTTCTACGGTCTTTTTGCAGTCTGACAATGATGGCATCGCGGTGATTCAAAACGTGGAGGCGGGCACAAACATGGACATCGAGGTCAAGCGTGTGCGGAAGGATGGCCCTGTGCCGTTCCGTTTTTGGAGTTTTCACGCGAATCGTCCGTCTTGTCATATTGATGTGTCACCTACCAATTCATTTTTGGCCCCTATTCCTGCTCGTTTTGGAAAGGTGGCTACCCCTGTGAGAGTGTACTTCAAGAGCATAGCACCGCAGGGAGCCAAGGGATTTATTTTGGATATTACTTACGGCTTTTTCTCGACATCGCCTGTGAAATACGAGGTGATGCAATCACCAACAAGTGCAGCTGGTCTGACGCGGACAAGTGGGGAGGTGGTTCCGTGGAGCGAGGGCGTGGCTTACATGACATTTTCACCTTCAATCTCAACGGAAACCTTGCAACTGCTTCAAGTGAAGATTCTGTGGGTCGATGACATCACCGCCGCTGGTGGTACCGCGGAGGGTGTAGATCCTGCAGTGCCACCGGAGGAATTTGCAAAGAAAAACGCAACGCCGTCAGAAGTTACAAGCAAGGAGCCATCTTCGCAGCAATCCAAGGCTGGAGATAAGAAGAGAGGGTCCGTGCTTGGTTTATTATTTATACTTCTGTTTTCTCTCGCTGTATTTATGCTTGTCATGTCATTCGTCAACTATCGGCTGAAAGGCGCAACTGAGTTCCCGGAGATGATCCCTTTTGTGGGGGTTTTTAGGTCATGTGGACAGTACGTGTCGCTAGCGACGGAAGCATTTATGCGGGGCAGAGGTAATCATCGTGGTGGGTATTCCGATTTGAGCCACGAGGCGGTGAGCACGGACCGCATCTAAAGCAGCGCAAAAAAAAAGAAAAAAGGGGGGGTTGGGTGTGGGTAGGGGAATAAGCAACAGCTGCTGGTTGGTGGTTCTTTACACGAAGAATCCAAAGAGAAGTTAAGGTATGTGAATTGTTTGTACGCATCAAGGGAAATGCAATTTTTTGTATTTGTTGTTTTTTAAAGAAGCGCCACGGACGATGTGAATGATAACTCTTTTTGTTTCTGCTGTTGCTTCCGTTTGTTGTTCCTTGTGACATCTTATTGCTGTGACGCGTCTATCTGTATGCCTGCGTGTGTGTCTGTGTGTGTGATTTTTTTCTTTTGAGCTAACAGGTTTGCCTGGAATTTTTCTCCTCCGGTTCTTTGGCGTTTTGAGATTGGACTTCCTCTTGCTGCCAAGCGCCGCGGCGAGAGCCAACAGTTGCCTTTTTGTGAGAAGGCACACGCGGGCTTCCACGCGGCGGCAGGAATAGGGAGGAGAAAAAAAAAAGGACAAGGTGAAGATAAAATATTAAAGGGGACAGCTCTATCGAGCAACTCACGGACGTGATGATGAGTCAGAGTCTCAATGCATTGCGGAGCGGGACCGCATGTTTTCCAACCACTATAGCGCAGCAGCGTCGATGGATAACACGGCTGTACACATCTTATTACCCCGGTGTGTTATATCCCAACCAGCTTGTGCAGCATAAGCAGCGTCTGCCACCGGGCGTCAGTCTCAGTACGGCGCTGAAGGCAAGAACCCAAACGCGACAAGAGCAATCTGTGGCTGGAAGAGAGGTTCCCGAGGAGAATGAAACACGCGGTGTTTCATGGACCGACGCCAGCAGCACGGATGTGATGCATACGGGCAATGCAAGGAGACAGGAGAAGGTGTCTGTCGCCACAGGTCGATCTTACGTGCCGCTTGGTGAGGTGGCTAAGTTGGAGTTGCAAGGGGATTATTGTATGGAAGGAGGTTTATTCCAGGAGGCGTTGGAGCGTTACGGTGTTGTTGCCAAGGCGTACTCAATTGCCTACCCCGAGAACCATTCACAGCGTATTGGTATTTTATTAAAGCTCGCCAGTGCCTTTCGTCACGTCGGTCGACTTGATAGCAGTAAGGTAAATATTGAAAATGCGTTAAAAATGTTGGATGCATCGAGTCGACCGTCCCTTGAGCTTATATGTGAAGCCCTGTTGGAACTGGGATTGACACGAGAAGCAAAGAGCATGAAAAACGAAGGCGCAGAGGCCTATGAGGAGGCAGTGGAGGTGTTAAATCTTTTCCACAACTGGGGCGAATCACATCGAATGTTGCGTTTGCTTCCGCGTCTGGGGCGTCGCTTCAACCTCAACTTTGAGGAGAAATTTGTGTACTTCAGTCCGTTTGACTACGACCGCACCTTCGCCATTGCAGACCAGTGCATGGAGCGTGCGGAGAAGGTCTATCGCGAAACCGGGGACAGTAATGGCATCATTCGCGTGCTTCAGTGCAGAAAGGAGATGATTGACAAAAAGTTCTTCAATCTTCGTGACTTTGCTGGACGCATACACACAATGCGGGGGCATTGGATGCGGCGCGCGCAGCATTTAACAAACGCCCCGACACCCGATGAGCTGCTGCGGTACACGCCAACCATCCATCAGGTCTATCGCGACTTTAAGTACGAACTCACGGCCCCGATTGGTCGTGAGAAGGAGGTGATGCCTGGTGTCAATCGCGTAGTGCTCGACATGGGCAATCCCTACCGCCGACGCGGGCGATTGTCGAACAAAATGTTGCGTGATGCCGATCACAATTTTGCCAATTACGTCCGCCGAGAGGAGTACAATGCGTGAGGGAGCAATCTGTTGCAGGGAGAAATGGTTGTTGAGGGAAGCGGGAGGAAAGAGCCCCTTCAAGAAAAGGGAATTTATTTTTTCTTCGTATGTTTTTTTTATTTATTTGCAGCAACCGAATTTATATTTATATATGGGAAAATAGTAGAACTGCAATGCCGCCTTCAAAACTTTCGTCTTTTTTTTTTTTACGTTTGTGTAAAGTTTATCACCCTATTCTTTTCTACTTCTCTTCTCTTCTGGTCTCTTGTCTTCCCTTTGATCCCTCAACCCTCTTTCTTTCTCTCTCCTTGTGCAGTCGGCGAGTTTCAATACCGTTGCCGCCGCATTAGCAAGCCCCTCATGTCGAACACGGTCCCACCACACTATGTGCGGTTGAGGCGACAAAATTTGACCATTTTCCTTCACTGCGATGTGAACCACGACACCGTACAGGCGATTAAGGAGCGTTATGAGAAGTTGACTGGCCGCCTCTTCTACACCGTTAGACTCTACCTCGGCCGGCAGAGCCTGGACGATTTCTCCACGCTCTACAACTGCGGTATTGAACACGAGGGCGCTGAGCTCATTGTGGTGCATTCGAAGGCATTAAAGACGGACGGCACCGGTGAGTATATTTGGGAGGATTTGGAGGAGGCCACACAACTCCCACAACCGTCAAGGGAAGAAGCAAAGGAGACAAAAGAGGGAGAGACCTCTTTGGGGTCTCGTGAAGGAGGCGAGACTGCCGGGGAAGGCGGCAGTGCGTCACTTTTGACACGTCCTGGAGGAGAAAAGTCACATGTCTTTTGAGCCCAACGTCGGTTTTGTTGGGGTGTGACAATCCCTTCACTGCCTGCGTAACGCCACTGGTGCGTGTGGCACGGAGGGATAAGATTGCATTGGATTGGAAAAGAGGAGGTGGTGTAAAAAAAAAAAAAAAGAGAGAGAGATGGTGAAACTTGGTGTCTAATGATGTAAAATAATTTTATTTTAGAAGATTATTGACTTTAGTATATGTGCGCCAATATGTATGCGAATATTTGTGAAACTGTGTAGTTTTTGGATGACCCATTATTTGTTTGTGTTTGTGAGTAAATTTTTTTTTTTTTTTTCGTCGCGATCCTAGGCGTTTCTTTGCTTTTTTTTTTTTTTTTTTTTTTGAGATGTTTTTGCGTCTTGGTGGGAGAGGAGGGCTAAATAACGAGCATGCATAGACACATATTGTGCGAGGCACTTCTTCATGCGCAGTACGGGAGGAGAGATGCGCCATGTATTGCAGACTTTCCTACCGATGTGTCCCGAAAGGAAGTAGAGGAAGTTTATTTGCCGTTTCTCATAAGTGAAGAGGCCCAATTACGGCAGAATCTTATACTCGGTGATGTGGAAATCATTGGCTATGACAGTGGTTCACTGCTTGCGGTGGCTGGTGATGCCATTGCAGCAGGGCTAGTTTTGTCCGATATGCTCTCAGAAGTACCCGCCTCCACGGTGTTTCCAACGAGTGTCGGCCCTCATTCGTCTGCCAGATGAATATCCTGCGGCACCGTTGTTATCACAGAATTATTATTATTATTATTATTATTAAAGTTTTGTTGCACTCAAAGTGAATGAAGCTCAAAAAGAAATGAAAAAAAAAAAAGATGTCACAAAAAACTGTACGTATTTTTTTTTTTTCTCTTCTCTCTACTGTAACGTTTATATCGGGAGAAGAGACTATCTTCTTTCTGTGTGCACGTGGGATCTCGCATTCTTCTTTTCTTTGGCTCTTATTGCCACATCAAAGGGAGAGAACTAAGAGGAGGGGTGTAAGACATTTCTTTCTGCATCAAAGTATGGATGTTGCTCTCTTGCTTCAGCGTCAGATGGAGTTACACGGGGCGCTTCGACATCCGCCTCACACTGTTGCTCAGCTCCAGGAAGTTTACAGGACAATGAGGGAGTTGGCGATTTTCTTCCAGAGTGTGAGGTCCACGGCTGACATGCTCAGAAGCTCACCGGAAACCGTCTTTCAGTGCCTCATGCACATTGGTGTGGGAGACATTGTCAGCTTTGACAAGCAGCGACGGGATGGTGCAGTGCCGATGCATCAGGCGAAGGTGTTGACTCGAACCAACGCAATTGAGTTGGAGCCCCGCCTCCGCGCGGCCGTTTCTGCTGCCACGTTGGATGCCATGGTGGCCCACAGTAAAACAACCCGAACCCTTCTGCGCATCAAGGTGGAAGATGGCAATGATTTCACCATTGCAGAAAACGCACTGCAGCAGTTCATAGAGTACCTAGACTACATCGATGCTGCCTCGGGAAATGCTCCTGAAGTCATGTTTAAATTCTACATGGTGGAGGATGAGGCATCCCTTTTGTCGTTATTTGGTCGCGGGGCTTCAGAGGCTTCTCTCCGAACTTCTGAGGGTGGAATTTCAGCAGAAGCAACGGTTACCCTGCCATGCGATGAGGAGTTGGAAAACGAGGTACGTCGACTAGCGCGGGTGTGTGCATCGACAACAGAGTCTGTGGCAGATCGACTAAGTGCACTGCGAGTTATTAATCGATGGATCGACATGATGGGGGAGGAGAGTTTTCTTCACAATATTTCTCGGGTGGTTTCCCATATTTCAGGAACTTTGTCCGTCTGTGCGGCGGAAAAACGTTCTGCGGTTTGCCGGCAGGCATGTAATGTTATGGTGAGCATCGCAAGAAGGACCCCTGCGAGGCTTTATCACGATGGTTCACTGAAGGTAGCTCTCTCTAAGTGGTGCTCTGTTCTTGTGCGCGGTGTCTTCGTCACGGTGTCAGCAATCGCACAGGCCACAGATGTGGCTCTCAGAGCTCTTGTTATTGGCAGCGGGGGCAACGCAGCCGCGTTTAAAAGCATCATAGAGGGATTAGAATCCGGCACTCACCCAGAGCTGCGGCGCAAGTGTTTGGGTTATCTTGTCGTTGGCGTTGTCGCTTCAGGGGGTGAAGTTTGCTCGTCTCGATCTCGGCTTGCCACAGTGTCGAGCAAATACATGGAAACTGGAGACACCGCGTGTAGGAAGATGGCAAGGGCGCTTTATATTGCCCTTGTCTACTTCACAGGAGTATCCAACGTGGTGGTTAGCAAGAAATCCGAGTCTCTTATTCATCAAGAGGAGATTGAGCTGAAGGGAGTTTTACATGATGTGGAGGCCGTAGAAAGGATGATTTTCGGCGCCAGTGTGGAAAAGCAGTCCTCCGTCGTTTGTGGCGCCCAGGCCGGTTCGGTTCGCCGCAGCAGCAGCACCAATGCATCCTCCACGACAACAGAAGCGAAACAGGACTTTATAACTTCTGTCACTACTGACATCTACGACACCTCCGCCATGCTCGGGGGGGCCTGATACGCTGCATGCGGGAATGCAGCCAACAAGGCACCCCAATGTACTCTCGAGGGAAAATGGCATCTTTATGGGAAGCTCCACCAAGTGTCGACACCAACCACTTGCTTCACTGGACCAGGAGACCACGCGTGCTTTGCCGCCACAGCCGAAAGCTATGAAATTGAGTGCTTCCCCACGTTAAAAGATCGAGGAAACTTATTCACGCCTTAACTCGCGTAATTGATGACGGCATAAGCAGCAGCAAAGATTGAAATGAGGAGGTAATGAGCGCTGGAAATGCCATGGGCTTTCCCAATGAATTATGGAAGAAACTCTTGTCTCCTTTATACGGCAATGCTGACATGCTTATTAGACTGAGACAAAAAAGTTCTGCGGAGGGGTGAATGCATTGTTCCAAAGGTTGGCATGGCGGGAGCGGGAAACGAAGGGACCGACACATAACGGCAGTAAAAACAAAGATGAAACAGAAAAAGGAAAAGGTGATTGATGAGAATACGAGCGAGAGGGGAGGAGTACCTTTTGGACTTCCCGTGAGTTGAAATGTGTGAAGAAAATAGCCACCACCTGCTACAACATAGAAAGAGGGAAAATGAAATCTGAAAATTTGTGTATTGACTTTTTTTTTATGGGACGCGACACGAAATTACATCAGTATATTTGCATAAATATTCCTGCTGCACCCACAATGCCTTATTTGATTTGCGACGCATCACATTATCCATGATACTGTTGACTTTCTGGTTTCATTGTTGTTGTGGCCTCCCTTTTTTTTTTTTTTTTTTCGCTGTCGTTTGTGACTGTTGATTTGGGTTTTTATTGATTTTTGTTTTTCTTGCAGGAAAACGCAGTGTCACGTGTAAGAGGGTTTTGTGGTGCTGGTGGCAGTGGTAGGGCATTGTAGTTAGGAGCAGTGGAAAGAAAAGAGTGATGGCGTGCATCTCTGTGGCCAAAAAGCCGCGTATTGAGTCGAAGCCCAATGCCACGCCGTGGGTGGAGAAGTACCGGCCAATGACACTGAGCGAAGTGAAATCACAGGAGGAGGCGGTGTGTGCACTGCGGGCCAGTCTCCAATCGTCTGCAAGCATGCCCCATTTTCTCTTCCACGGTCCGCCGGGCACAGGAAAGACGACTGCAATCCTTGCCGTGGCGCGGGAACTCTTTGGGCCGGATTACGTGCACAGCCGCGTGCGAGAGATGAATGCGAGTGACGATCGTGGTATTCAAGTCATACGAGAAAAAGTGAAGGTGTTTGCACAGACGGCAGTGGGTAACGTCGGGCATAAAGTGCAGTCCGATGGCCAGGTGTACCCTGTCCCTCAATTCAAGCTCATTATTCTGGACGAAGCGGACGCGTTGCTACCGGATGCACAGGCCGCCTTGCGCCGGATGATGGAGGACTTCAGCGATGTCACACGTTTTTGTATTCTCTGTAATTATGTCAGCCGTATCATCGATCCCATAGCCAGCCGCTGCGCCAAGTATCGGTTCAAACCTCTTGTAAGAGAAACCTTGTACGATCGGATTCGAGAAATTGCAAAGATGGAGGAAATAACCGTATCGGATGCCTCTTTGGAGGCGCTGGATCGTGTGAGTGGTGGAGACTTGCGGTCTGCCATCATGTATTTGCAGTACGCACAGAAAGCGCATGGGAGTGACCTTACAAAAGAAAACTTTTTGGAGGTGTCGGGTAGCGTACCAATGGAGCTGTTGGAAAAGTACTTGAAGGCGCTTGTGACGAAAGACTTTGATGGCATGTATTCCTTGACGAAGGAGATTGTTGGGCAGGGATTCCCGGCAAGTCAGCTTCTTTCGCAGCTGCATCAATATATTGTTGGCTCAAGCTGCCCTTTGAATTCTCTTGTGAGGAGTCGCATCGCATTGAAGCTCTGTGATGTGGAGCGGCGTTTGTCAGACGGCGGCGATGAATTTCTGCAGCTTCTGGACTTGGGGACCACAATCTGCTCCCTGTGACTCGTCAGGGATGGGGGATATGATTAATTATTGGAAACAAGAGAACGAGAAAAAATAGATCCTTTGAGATGAGGGATGCATTGCACCTTTTCTGGCGTTTTTGCATGGCGTTGCTTCTCTGAGTGGGCGGGCGCAGGTATATGACACCAACGAGAGAAGAATAAAAAGAAGGAGGACGGCATGCCTTGCATTGCAGCGAAAGAAGTTGGGTGCTCTCTGCTGAAGCGCAAAGAATGTTATTATTATTATTTACTTGTTTTTTTTTTTTTTTTTTGCAGTTGTTGTGGTTTTTCTTTTTTTTTTTTTTTTTTTTTGCTTTTTTTAAATGAACAATTGGTGTGATGCACGCGCTGCTCTTCTCTTGCGTCCATATTAAGGAGAGAAAGAGGGAAAGAGGGGACATGTCTTCGAAGCCGTCAGATGAGAATGGTGTCCAGTTCAATACCGAGATGGATCCAGAGGCCGAGCTGCAGGAAATGCAGCGACAAGTGAGTGATCTACAGGAAGATTTGCGGCTAAAGACGCTGCAGGAAACGGCGGCACAGGACGAAGGTCATCGAAAGAGCACGGGTTTTGTAGCCACAAAAAACACCTCTATCTTTGTGGGGGGCCTGGACCCTCGTACAACGGAAGGTGAACTCCGAGTATTTTTCAGTTCATGCGGTACGATTAAACGCCTTACTATGTTGCGCGATAAGTTTACTGGGCAGTTGAAAGGCAATGCGTACATAGAGTTTGAAGCGCCCGAACAGGCCGCCGCGGGAATCTTGAAGGATGGCCAGTCACTACATGGCAAACCACTGAATGTTGCGATGAAACGTGATAACATTCCGGCGTTCCAGCGCGGTAGGGGGTCGAGTGGCTTTTCCCGGGGCGGCTATCGCGGGGGTGGACCGGGTGCGATGCAACAGCAGATGGCGATGGCTGCAACAATGATGGCTGCAAGCATGATGGGCGGTGCTGGGGGTGGCTTTAACCCTTTTGGTGGAATGGCGCGAGGACGCGGTCGTGGACGTGGACGCGGCGGAGTGCATTAACAACCGGAGGTAAAACTGGAATATGTGTATGACGACTGACGCGAGGCGAGAGAGAGAGAAGGTGGAGAAGGTGGCTTGTCAAACTCGCGTACACAGCGTGACGTGCTGTGGCGTCTCTTGAAGGAGAAATCATCACCGGAGCACGCGGTGGTGTCTCATATCACCCACGGTGGCAGCTGCAGCAGACGGGGCAGGGAAAAAAGCCAAGGGAGAGAAGGGAAGAAATATATCAACCGGAACCACCCACGCGCTCATTTCAAGAAAAAAAAAAAAAACATAAAAAAAAAAAATGAGGAAAATGAGGGAAAAAAAAAAAAAAGACGTGGGTCCTTGAGGAGAAAAATAAAAAATAAAAACAAAAACTCCACGTGAATTTTGACAGTTGTGCCCCTCCCTCTCTGTTTCTCGCTGGTGTGTGTTTGTACGTGGCGAATATCGCTTTCTCGTGTGATGCCTGGAAATGTGGATGCCTCTCTTTTTCCTCTTTCATTTTATTTAAATGAACTTTGAGCAGCCCTCTTTTTTTTTTATCTTGCACCGCGTTTGTTTCTGGTGGATTGGTTTCGCTTCACAGATGATGTCAACTGTGCATCGAATCCAATGCTTTGACCCCGTCCCGAGCGACCTGGAAATTGCCCAAAGTGCAAAACCCCATCCAATTAATCTTGTCGCGGAGGCCTTTGGCATCCACTCCTCGGAACTCAACCTCTATGGATCCACAAGGGCCAAGGTGAAAACAAGCATTCTCAAGCGGCTACAAAATTCACCGCCTGGGAAGTACGTTGTTGTGACGGGCATGAATCCGACGCCACTCGGTGAGGGCAAGAGTACCACAACTATTGGTCTCGCACAGTCCCTCTGCGCCCACCTACACCGACCCACATTTGCGTGCATCCGGCAGCCATCACAAGGGCCCACGTTTGGTATAAAGGGGGGAGCTGCTGGGGGTGGTTATAGTCAAGTGATTCCAATGGAAGAATTTAATCTTCACGGTACAGGGGATATACATGCCATCACAGCGGCCAACAATTTGTTGGCAGCGGCCATTGACACAAGGATCTTTCACGAGCGCACGCAGAGTGATGAGGCTCTCTACCGACGTCTCACCGCCGACCTAAAAAACTTTACACCCATCATGCGAAAACGGCTAGAAAAGCTGGGTATTTCGAAGGAGGATCCAAAGGATTTGACCCCCCAAGAGCGGACCCGCTTTGCTCGCTTAAATATTGACCCCGACACCGTCTCTTGGAGGCGCGTGACAGATGTTAACGATAGAATGTTGCGAGAAATTACAATTGGTCAAGGGAAGGAAGAAAAGGGTGTAACAAGGAAAACAGGGTTTGATATTTCTGTTGCCTCTGAGCTAATGGCCATTCTTGCTCTTTCTAAAGATCTAACCGACATGCGTGCTCGTTTTGGTGCTATTGTAGTGGCGAAAAGTGTGTCGGGGGAATTGATTACTGCGGAAGATATCGGTTGTGCCGGAGCCATGACTGCGTTGATGAGGGATACAATCGAACCCACGCTCATGCAAACGCTAGAAGGTACACCCGTTCTTGTGCATGCGGGACCCTTTGGGAACATTGCTCACGGAAACAGTAGTATTATCGCAGACCAAATTGGACTACAACTGGCCGGTCCGAATGGATTCGTGCTAACGGAAGCGGGTTTTGGTGCCGATATAGGCTGCGAAAAGTTTTTTAACATCAAATGTCGGGCCAGTGGACTAAAGCCAGACGGTGCTGTGGTTGTTGCCACGGTCCGAGCCTTGAAGTTTCATGGTGGAGTGGAACCAAGCAAGGCGGGTATTGAAAATGTTGAGGCTGTTCGTGAAGGATGTTCGAACCTTATTCGCCACGTCTTGAATATACAAAAGTTTGGTGTCCCCGTAATTGTTGCGTTGAACCATTTCGCAACGGACACTCCGGCGGAGTTGGAACTCGTGAAGGAACTTGTCCGAGGTGCGACAGGTGCCTTTGACGTTGTGGTGACGAATCACTGGGCTAAAGGCGGAGCGGGCGCTGTAGAACTTGCCGAGGCTGTCATTCGGGCGACACAGAATGTGCAGGTGGACTTCCGCATGTTGTATCTGGACACGGACAGCCTCAAGAAAAAAATTGAAAAGATCTGCAAAGAAATATATGGGGCAGCCGGTGTGGAGTATCTTAATGACACAGCCGAGAAGTTGGAGGAGTTTGAACGCTGTGGCTACGGCTTGTTCCCTGTATGCATGGCAAAGACACAATACAGTTTCTCTCATGACCCTTCTTTGAGGGGCGCTCCGACGGGCTTCATAGTGCCCATTCGTGACGTTCGTGTCAACTGTGGTGCGAAATTTGTCTTTCCATTTCTTGGAGACATTTCAACCATGCCGGGTCTTCCCACTCGACCCGCATTTTATGGCATAGAAATTGACGGTGAGACAGGTGTTATCACAGGGTTATCGTAAAACAAGAAAGAAAAAGGAATATAATATTTTTTTTTTTGATTTTGTCTTATGTATTTGGGTTTGAGTAGGGGTAAAGAGGAAATGGCAACCGTGTGAGAAGCAAAACGATGAGAGCCTCTTTTTGAATGTAATGTTTGGGGGAATGAAGGATTGAACATGGATTTGGGTTGGAATGGTGATTTGTTTTTACCAACGGATGATGATGTTTTTAGTGTTTTCTTGAAATATTTTTTGGATTTTGTTTTTATTTTTGTTTACATGTACGTCTGTGCTTTTATTCTTCCGTGTTGTTGCGTTTTACTTCGCAGGTGTGGGGACCTGAAGGCGATGGAGACATATTTTCTGTACGTGGCGAGTGTCGGTTTTTGTTTTTTTGTTTGTTTGGGGGTTTTCTTTTTTTGCGTGGTTTCTGCTGGACCCATAGAAAAAGAATGGCTGAGAAGAGGTTGTCTAACTTACATGCATGTTCAATTACATATTTGTGAACGTCATTGTTTTGTGCAGCCAAAATGATCATCATTTTTTTTTTTTATTTTTTGAGGAGAGGAGGGCTCGGGTTCCCATCAACGTGGTGCGTCAGAGTTCTTTCAAGAAAGAAAGAAAACTGCTCTTTTTATTGCAATTGAAACTATGCAGTGAATTATGGATCAGCTGACCCATGCTTTTCAGGGGGGGGGGAAGGAATATTGACAATCTCATGGCATGCAGGGGTGGAGGGACGTGCGTTCAACGTATTATTTTGCTTTTATCGCCCTTGTTGCCCCCCTTTTTTTTTTTTTTTCGATATTGTTTTACGATGGAGAAATGGGATTAGGGCAACGTAGACTTCCCCATTTTTTTCAGTTGCTGCTTGTCTTTAGTGGATCCTTTTGCTAAATACTGGTTGCGTTGGGCGGGGCGAGAGAATTGGTTGGACAGTTATGGGTCTACACTGGCGGGCGGGTGAGAATTACTTGGATGTGCTGAGTTTGTCCCCATTCACCATTCACGGCTGTCAGCCGGCCGATGCAGAGGGTTCTTTTCTGTCCGAGCAAAAATTTCCGCTTCACGCAAGATTCCAAGAGTCATCGGGCGAATATATGGCAACCTTGTGGGCCTTGGATACAGGAAGGGCATACCTTGTCGGCGTGGGGCCGTCGACCGAGGAGTCGTCTACGCGTGATAAAAACTTGGAAAGTTGCCTCGGTGTTGGTAGAAACGGAGTGGACGCCCCAGTGAAATTCTTTATTGTGAAGACGTGTATAAACAGAGGACCATTGGCGTTTCTTGCAGCAAATACCATTTTGGATGTGAGACTTCTCTACCGTGATGACTTCCTTGATTGTTTATTGTCACAGAGAAGCAGTTGGATGTTGATTGAACATTTTGGATGGGAGAATACGACGTTGTTGCAGCATTTGTTTTACCACTCTCTTTTTGCAATCCCTGATGCAATACGTGAGGCACCCGTGTACACGCTTCCAAACGGTAGTAAAGGTCGTTTCTGTTTGGACTTGAAGCAGGAAAACATTGCCTGGCGGAAGAGCAAGAAGGTTCGACGTATTATGTTGTGTGACCTTTTTGCGGTGGCTGTAAATCGAGATATTCGGGACTCGTTGTGCCTGGCGCGGGAATATCATCTGGAGAAAAAGGGGAATACATGGTTAAAGGAAAGCTACATTGATCTTCTTGTGGATTTGGCGGCTTGTCCAGAATATGGAGTGAAAATCATGTCGGTGGAGCTCCTGGAAAAGAGCAGTGGCAATGTCCTTGCTGGTTGCCTGGGGTTCTCTCTTGGTTGTGTGCACCACGATTTCACGATGTTTACCATGCAGCGCTCGCCCGAGGGATTCGGCACGTTTGCCACAAAACTACTGGGCGAGGCACTGCAGCAGTGCGGCTACAATTTGTGGTATTGGGGGTTTCGCTTAAAATACATGGAGCAATTTGAGGGAAAATATGGCGGAAAAATCATATGCAAAGCTGATTTTTTTGCACGTTGGGCGCAGAACCGAGATGTGCAGCCGAATTGTACCCTGGAGGAGTTTTTCCGGTCTGGGAGAGGAATGCTGCCGTATTTTGTTTCCGCGGAATAGTTCTCGTATTGGGGGAAAGGGGCACAATGACAGAAGAGGAGTAGGGGCCCGCAGTGGGGGAGGGAACGGATGGAAAATGGAAATTTAAGAAGAAAAAAAAAACGGAGCCCATGGAGGGTGCGTCTTCCTTTTATCCCGCCAGGAACATTTGCCTGCTTTCTGCCTACCTGCACCTGCAAAGGAAGACATTTCTTTAGGATGCTGCTCTTATGATTCGAAGGACAGCCAGGAAGACGTTAGCGGGATTTAATTCGGCCCACGTCTGTTTCATGTGTTGTCATGACACTTCGAGACGCTGTGAGAGTAACAAAAAGGAGCACACCGGCTCTCGATCTCTTCCATCGTCGTCGTCGTGTCCTTTTGCGGCACTGGGAATCAGTCAAAGCAGCAGTATGGAGACGGTAAAGGAGGCCTATCGGGCAAAATGTCAAACAGAGCACCCTGACGTTGGTGGCAGTGGAGCGAAATTTCTTTTTATCAAGGATGCCTACGAAAAGTGCACCCGCCGTGTGCAAGAACGAGAGGAAATGTGTCATGGCATGTATTCCAAGACGACAGTCGATAGTGCAGCTCCGGAACGTGCAGAAGAGAAGGAAGAAGGAAGAAGTGGAAGGTATCAGCGGCAGTCGGATGTCTGGTATGAATCTCTGGCTAAACGTCTTGGAGAACAGCGACAAATGTTCTACGGCGCATTTCCACGCGCGAAGACAAGTAATGAGATGGATGAGCTTTTTTGTTCTGCCCTGCACTGTCACTGCTTTGACACTATTGACGTGGCCGAGCCCTTGGTGCTTGCGCTAAGTCACTACCATCGAGTGACTGGTTACGGTGCACCACATCTGTGCAGCTGCTTCGGCACCATAGACAGATGGGAAGAATTTACTGAGTCGCGTGCAGGGGCGACAATGTATCACATTTTACTGCAGTTGTACACGGATGGTCCGAAGCAGGGGTTGACACCAACCATTATTACAGAGAGTGTGGAGGCCATCATGGAGCGAATGAGTGCAAAGGGCCTCGAGTATGATGACTGGACGTTGACGCTGGCGCACAAAGCTTACCGAATATCGCCATACCCATCTTAGGCCGAGCGAATAAGATAAAAATGAAGAGGAAGTATTTAAATATTGATTTACGAGTCATAGTAGAAGGGGTTTTGGTTTTGACGAGTTATGGTAGTCAGGGCTCTTTTCTTTCTTTTTTTTTTTTTTTTTTTTTATGATTATTTGGTTAATGCTGTTGTTTTTGTTGAGACCGTCAATGACTCTGGGCTTGTGAGGTTTGTCCTTTATTTGCGTGGCAGGCCCTTTTTTTTGTTTGTTTGTTTGTTTGTGTATGCGCATATTTGTGTGGTAAAGAAATGGTTAATGGGTTTGTGTGATTTTTTTTTGGTTGACAGGATTCTTTTCTTCTATTGTAGAGAGTGAGCGTATTTATGTGTTGTTGTTGTTTTTTTTTTTTTTGCTTATTTATGAGTACTGCCAATTTTTTGTTGCTTTGGGAATCCCATGAGGGGCAAAATGTTGCTATTCGTCTTTTACAGGCTGTTATTTCTTTAGCTTTTTGCCCTCATGTGCACAAGACATGTGTTTGTGTGTACGGACTCTTCAGGGTGCATCGCAGCTATTGGATTTATTTCCTCCACGTTTTATTGAATACATGACAAGCGTTTATTTAATACATCATTTCTATGCATCCCACCGAACTTCTTTCCTTTTCTTTTTTATTGTGCGTAACAGGAAGCAGTGAGTATACAACAAAACAAAGGTTAAAAGACGGTTAAAAAAGAAAAAACAGAAAGAAAGAAGGAAAGAAGGAGCGGTAACGATGGCGTTTTGTATCATTTCTGAGAGCAGGGGCATGTCTCTGTGGGATATGCTAGCGTGGCACCGCCCAAAAGTTACGGGTGTACTTCTTGGAACCGTACTTTCCGTCCTGACGTTTTTTTGCCTTATGAAATACACAATGGTGACGTTCCTCTGCCGCATCCTGCAGTTGGTCCTATTGGCCGGCGTTCTGTTGGGCTTCACGAATCGATGGCACCTCACCTCCGACGACATCCACGAGGCTGTCAACCGCCTTGTGGACTGCGCCACGCCCCGGCTGGTGACGGCCCTTGAGTCCATGCACCAACTCGTGACGTGGCGTGACTACCGCCGCTCCGGGCTCGTCACGCTGGTGAGCTTCGTGGTTGCTCTTCTCGGCAACCTCGTCTCCGACGCCGCCCTTCTCACGTTTTTTCTTTTGTTGGCCTTCACCGTTCCTGCGGTGTACGAGAAGAAGAAGGATTTGATCGACAATTGGATCAGCGCTGCCACGGCTCAGGTGGAGAAATACATGGGGAAGATCAAAACAAAGGTGGAAGAGGCGACCAAGAAGAAAGAGTAAAGGTGGAAAAGAAAAAAAAGGAAGGAAGGAAGAAAAAAAGAGAGAAAATAATTTTAAAAAAGAAAAGAAAGAAAGAAAAAAAAAACAGTCTATTAGGAACATGATGGCGATGGGAAAAGAAAAAAAAAACACGCTGCGTGAGTCAAAGGAGGATGTGAGGGGGGGTTGAGAGGGGAGAGGAAAAAGTGGAAATGATAATAAAAAATTAAAAAAAGAAATGGAGAGAAGTTGGGGAGGTGCATGCTTGCATCTGTGCATGGTGGAGGGAGGGGAAGGGATGAGAAGAGGACTGAGAATTTTTTCCAACACACAAAATGTCTTCTGTTTGTCTTTATTCGCACGGACGAACAGAAATTCCTTCGTTTTTTTTTTGTTTGTTTGTTTTGTTTTCCCTGCAGTTGCCGTGTTTTTTACATCTTCGTGGTTATTTGCCTTTCACTTCATTTTACATTCACTCAAATGTTTTTTTTTTTTTGATTTTTTTTTTTTTTTTGGTTTGTTTGTTTGTGCCTCTTTCCTTCATACTTCACTTTATTTAAATGTTCAAAGAAGTTTTTGGTTCGGTTTGTTTTTTATTGAGGTTTTGTGTGGTTGATTCAATTTATCTGCTTGCGTGTGCGTGTGCGTGTGCGTGTGTGTGTGTGTTGCTGCTGTTTGCCTCCGAGGCCGTTTTCGTGATGGTTCATGTGCCCTTTCGTTCCCGCGTAGTTGCCTGCCTGTTTTTGTTTTTGTTTTTGTTTTTGCGTGCGTGGAGGGGGGAGACGAAAGTGGGATTTATTGAGGAAGAAATGGGCGAGGGTGCGGATGGACAAGTGAAGAATTTGGGGGAAACCATCCGGCACCGCGGGTGGACGTTAACTTCGAATGCACATCCTTAAAAGGAAACAAAGGCTGCGTGGTGGCAACAACAATCACCGAAAAAAAAAATAAATAAATAAATAAGAAATAAAAAGTTATTAATTGAGAAAAGCTTGCAAAATGAAATAATAAGAAAATTGTTAGAAATGAGGGAGGAGAACATACACTTATATATACACCCATATATATTTATATATTACAAATGGGCACACACACACACACACACACACGCACATTTTTATTTATTTATTTATTTATATTGCTGAGCAGATGAATTTGACACAACGAGGGGAAAAAAATGAAAATGAAAAAGAAAAGAAAAAAGGAAAAGAAAAGGAGACGGAAGAAAAGGAAAAAAAAATGGAAAATGAGGGAATTTGGTGCTACAGCATGTAAATTGTTATTTTCAGGAGGGAAATGAGTTTTATCGCGTCACTTTGATGCGATGGGGATTTTTTTTCCTCCGTCAATGGCACAAATCATTTATTTCTGTTTCTTGCCTCATTGTTTTCCCTGTTAATGATAGGAGATATATCCATATCCATAGAGAAAGGGAGAGAGGGGGGCGGGTTTGCAGTGCGGCTTGGTGGTATCGGACAACGCTACAGACGCAGCCACGTGGAAGCTGTAGCAAAGCAAGAGAAAAAGGAGGGAGTTGCAGAAGAAGGAAGGAAAAAAAAAAAAAAAGAAATTGGGGGGAGAAGAGAAAAAGGGTGTGATGGATGCCAGGGTGGTTTGTGTATCCCGCGGTTCAAATGATGTGGAGAATGCATTTAAGCGGTTGGATGACACGCAGGTGCAGCTACTGTACACAAAATTTCCCGTGGGCATGGGGACCTTTAGGCGCAACAAGTTCATCTACGTTATTTTTGTCGGCCCCAACTGCGGCGTTGTCAAGCGTGGGAAGGGCATTGCGGAAATAAACCTTTTTAAAAATGTGCTTCACGGTGCTGCCGGCATCTCCACGACGGACAGGTCATCACTTTCCCTTCCCTTTTTAGTTCAGCAGATGCGCAGTGTGTTTGTCACGGACGCTGGCAACTTCTCACTGGAGAAGATACAAGAGGAATATAAACGTTGCATAAAGGAACAACAGTGGACGATGCATCGTGATTCAATACCACCATCACGACCACATTCAATATCCAGGGCATTGTCGCGCCATTCGTCGGATGATGAAGTGTATGAGATGCCAAGTTTCACCTCCTTTCAAATTCAAAACGTCCCCTGCGATATCGACGACAACACAAGGAGCGTTCTGGAAGCCCTTCACATGAAACTTGGCCCGTTGAATTGGGCTACCTTTGAGGCTAATCCACTCCATTTGACGCTTGCTGGTGCCGGTAACGGAGGCATCTTTGAGCTTGTGAAGCAACTGCCCGCAGCAAAGTGGCTCTTTGGTCTCTTCCGCATAACACTTGGTGCAGCGGAGGAGCGTCAATCGCTGTTGATCTTCTTTCAGTGGATAGGCAGTCGACTCCGGGTGGTGCGCCAAGGACCCACCACACACATATTCCCCAAAATGGCTTCCATTCTCGCGCCGTATGAATATGAGGTTTACCTGGTCGGCACACAAGACCTGAACACCCAGAAGATTATCAACAAATGTCGTCTTGCCTTTTTAGATTATCGGGTACAAGGTAAACCCGAAGTGACGGAAAATACTTTGCGTGATTTAAAAAAAAAACTGCGCCCTGTCAATTCCACCTTCACAGAAGAAGAGTACCGAGTCATCTTGGAGGAGGAGCGAGCTAAGATGGACCTTAACTTTGACTTTATTCGTCCAAGGAAGAATCACGCTGTACGGTCGTTTTCCGAAATCAACAATGACAATGGCGTTGGGCAATCCCGTGTCTTCGACATTAAGGAGACACTTGACCTCATCAATCAGAGTGAAGGTGGACTTGTATGGGGCATATTTGAGGCCCGCGCATGAGTTGATTTGCCCTTCCAACAATAAAGGAGGAATGGAGAAAAGAATGAAACCCAAACATATGTGAGTATGAGTAAATCGAAGAGAAAATATATTTTTTTTTATTTAATTATTTATTTATTATTATTTTTTTTTTTTTTTGAGGGGAGAAGAGGGGGTAAGTTTAATGCCTTATGCGTTTATTTTTGTTGTTGTTGTTTTTTTCGTTTTTCTCGTGGCCCCCCTCTTTTTCCCTAACCTCATTCCATTTTTTTTTTCTTTTTTTAATGTATTTATATATTTATATATTTATATGTATGTGCTTTGCGTTGTTAGTGTTTTGACATCGTTGCTGCTCCTAGGAGGAGATTGGAGGAACTAGACGCCATTTACCTCACATCCTCCCTTATTGCCTGTGTGTCTGTGCGCAGACAATTGTTTGTTTCACCACATCCCGACGGACTGTGCTACAAGTTGCCGCCATTCTTTTTTTTTTTTTTCCTTCAGGTACTTTTGCCCTTTTGTCTTTCTGTGGACGCCTCTTTTACAGACGTCTGGCGCCGAAAACAGAAGAGTCATTTAGCAGAAGAAAGGGAGAGATATTCTCCAAAAACATTTGAATTGTCGAAATAAAAAGAAAAACAGAACGTTTTGTGGTTCTGCGTACCGTGTAGCGACAAATGGATACCGGACGCTCTATTTGCCCTTCCCGCACGCTGCCACTCAAGGGAGTGCAGCATATCACTTCACCCTCCGTCCCCTCCGTCGTGCTGGGCAACAAACACTTGCCACAGCTGCCGTACAAACCAATTGTGTGCGGCGAGGATGGCTCGATTTTCACAGCCTCATTGCGAGAGATTGGTCCGTCCGCATGTACGTTAATTACCAGTCGGAAAAAAGGTGCAACGCAAAAATTCATGACAAAGAGCAACAGCAGCAAGATGAGTAAGAATAGAAGAGAAGGGGGAATGGAAGCATGTGTGGCCTCCAAAGCGGCAACCGTTGGTCACAGCAAAGCTCGGGCATCGCCATTAATGGATGCCAGTGGAGATGATTTGCAGCGCCCCCGATCTCCGCTTCTTCACTCTACACAATTCGAAAAATTGTACAAAAATGTGGCGGTAAATGCGTTGTCTTTATCCAAGAAGATGAATCAAAGTTATTCTGGGACGATGGATATGCTCAACTCGATGACGCTCCGCAGTACTTCCAGGGATTCACTTCCTCCCCTTGTAAACACACTAGAACGCTACATTTATCGGGAAATGGATGCAACATTAAGTAGAGGCTCACCCCTTACCGTGCAAGACCGTCTACAGCCCTTTCGTGAGGCCTTTTTTGCCATTATTGATGCGCTCCCGGCGTATGGCAATATTCTCAACGATATAATGAGTGTCTACGATGGTGTTATTCAAGAACAGGCGAAGTTGCTTGCAGATGTTATTACGGAGCATTCTCAACGGAATGCTTTTGAGCAGCAAAATGCCATGGAGTTGGCCGAACTGAGGTCCACCGTAAGTAATTTAATGAAAGAGCTGGAAAAGGCCCAAAACGCGGCAAAAGAAGAAACGTTACTCGTTCCCAGCAATGATTGGAATACCACGTTGGAGCCACGCTTGCAGCGTACACCACGGACGCGTCATGAGAACGAAAAGGAGCTGCAGGATGCCCAAAAGAAGATTAAAGAAATGGGCGAGGTCATCAAAAATGAACTGGAGAAACAACTTGTTCTTATTAATTCCCTGCGGGAAAGCGATAAACGGACAAAGTCACTGGAGGTTCAATTATCCTGCGTCAACAGCCAAATCGATGAACTAAGTGAATTTAAAGTCATGGCAGGGGAAGCTCAGAAACAACTTGAAGAGTTTAAATTAAAATATCAGAATTTTATTTCTGTGCAGGATCACGAAATTATACGGGACTACCTTAAAGGCGAGTTGCAGGCAGCACAAAATATGGCTCGCCAGTATCGTCGCGCAGCCGCTGTACGAGGGACGCAGGTGGATGTCATTGATAGGAAACTAAAGGCTATCCAAAAAGAAAATAAGGAGCTTCTTGAAGCCGTTGAGTATGAGAGGAAGGAAATTCTTACACCTCGTCCAGATTGGAAGAAAATTCACTTGGCCCTTCCTGAGCTTAAGGATATTGCAGCTCCCGTTAAGTCCATTTCGCTTGAGGGTGATGAAGCCATCACCTCAAATGTGGGCGGGTTGACTGAGACAAGGCTCCAGGTGGAGTTTCTCGTGGAGAGCGTCAACTCACTTTCACGGGAACTGCAGCGGCGGAAGATGGTACTGATGCCAACAGTCGCACCCACCCTTCCTCTTATAGGTCAAGGCGTGGAGTCTCATGTTCCTCTCCATCTTCGTGCATGTGGCATTATTCCCCGCGTGAGTTTAGATCCGGTGGAAATATTACTTCTTGTGCATGATTTTTTTGGTGATGTATTGCAACCACACCCCGACGTTCTTCTACATACGCTTGATGTCCCCGCACTCTACAAGGATTTCCTCCGCGAGCGGATAAAAAAGAGGGAAGCGCTCAACGGCTTTGTTGGTGCGGAGCATCTTGCCATTAATATTGCGGATTTTATAAGAGATAAAGAACGTGCTAGACCCTCGTTCTTACTTCTGGATGGGATTCTCTCCGGTATATTCCCTGCGCGTATTGCCTGCGATGTCATGATGATCGTGGAAAATGTTCGTTTTGAATTGACTAGTATTTCAAAGGGACAGAAGAAAACACGCCTTCGTCGGGTAGCGATTAGTGACTGTATCGCTCCAGTGTTGCAGCTGAAGACAATGGAAGAAATTACCGCCCTTAAGGATACGATGGGCTCCGACACAACCCACGATGTAGAATCTCTCTGTGCCACGGAAGGGAAGTTCATGTCTACGCTTTTTGACCAGGAATGTGCATCGGGTATGAAGTTTTATGTAGGATTGTTGGAAAAATTAACTTCGTATTCCCATTACCGTAGCCCGGAGAGTACTGAGTTGGTGATTTCTCTCGAAAGTGTGGGGCGGGCAATTGCTGAGATGGAGCCGCTAACACCGAAGGTCATCATTAAAGAGATCACAGAGAAACCAAAGGAGGGCAGTAAGGAGGATGGTGAAACAATAATAGGTCTCAGTGACGCGATACATCTCTTGGCAGCAGCCCCGGTGATACGTCGCTCAGTGCACCCAAAAGCAAATGGGGAAGTACTTTAGGAAAATGTCTGCACGTATGAGTACCGGGCAAAAACTGCGAGGATGTTTTGCGTCCCAATCATCTTTTTTTTTTTTTTTTTTTTTTGCTTGAGGGTTACGTGGCGGGTCCTTCTTCCAGTGGTACACCCGTACTGCATGATTCTGTTCATTTCAGTGTATCTTTATTTTTATATTTTTGTAATTCTCTTCCAATTCCTTATCAGCAGCGTCTATGTTTCACCGCTGTGGGAGGTGGGAAGAGCGGGACGAGCAGCCGCAATCTCCCTTTCTTCCGCCCTCTCTATATTCTTGGATGTAATGATACTGATGCGTACAAGCGAAAGCTGTGTTTGTGTGTGTGTGTGTGTTTGGGTGCAGTGCCACACATTTCGTGCGGACTCTTTGAAGTCGCTTTCCATCACCACGCTTCACCGAATTTGCTTCGCCCCTGCTTATTCAAAAGAAGCTTGTTGTGTGAGTGGAAATAGTAAAGCAACAACAACTCGCAGAGGGTCCGAAAAAAAAAAAAAAAGAGAAAGAGAGAGAGAATAGCGAAGGATAATGAAAGGAGGGAGACATTTCAACACGCATAGAAATTTTATGCAGAACTCCCCTTTTTCGTATCCAATGTCATCGCCGCCGATGCCGAACGAAAATGCGGAGGAACCGATGCAGGGCGCCTACTACAGCCCGTCTACACATCAAGGCAGTCTTGGAACTCCCAATCTTGGTTATCGCCTGGGGTTTCGAGGCAGCCAAAATGGCTCGTACGGTTCACGCCGCTCGAAACAATCTACACCAGGCAGCTTTCACTTTATTGAGCCACCGCGAGAAACTGCGAATGTGATTCTGGTCGCAACTCGACCGTTGTTGAAGGCATTAGCGCGGGAATGCCGACCGTGGCCGCCGTGGTGTGTTGGTTTTGCCGTGCCTGAGGAAGCCACCGAAGAACTACGCCTTTTTGCGTCATTTCTTCGTGCCACGCCGGAGGAATTACAATGCAGTGATTCCTCACTGCGTCTTGCAAACGAAGTCATGCAGGCGGTGTGGCCCAATGTAGTGATGAAGCCCATGTCAACGACGGCTGCCGGACTATCGCCACTAAAAGAAGTCACGCTCCATTATTATGCGGAGAATTCCCCAGTCGAACCGGAGGAATTATGGCGCGTCCAAAAGGAAATTCAAGATGTTGCCAACAGTCTTGGTGCAAGCGTGGAGTTCAATACAGATTACAGGGAAGTGCCATGTGTTGTGTTGACAGACACAAGATCTGGAAGGAGGCTTACAATACGCTATGGGCCTCAAGCATCTCAAGCAGAGCGTGCATCGAATATATTTCGAACAATAATAGCGTCAAACGAGGAATATCACGCGACACTTACACTACTGGATGCTCTTCTTCGCCAGAACAAAATTATGGACGATACTGGCACCGACAAGGATGCCCTGAACGGAGAGGCTCTTGCTACCATGTTTGTTTCTATCATCAACTCGTACAGTTTTTGCGACTTTCCAGATGCGAATCGCCTTATGATGGATTTCTTTCTGACTTATGGCTTTGCTGCAAACTTTGACCTTGTAAACCATTCCGTCACAGTGAATGGGATGTCGAACCCAACGCCCAAAGTCCACCGCAACTCACAGATCAGTGTTCTTGACCCCTCTGACGAAACCAGAAACCTAACGCCCTTGATGGAAAAGGCAGCGCACCTACAAGCCGTATTCAACTACTGCTATACAGCGCTCTCACAATTCAACCAGGTGTCTCAACGGCAGCGTCGTGCCCAGTCTACACTCTCTACCATAATAGGTGGGGAAGCATATTGGGGACGTGTGCTGCAGCTGTACCACGAGGAGATACCACCTTACGTGGATGTTGTCAAGATGAAAAAGCATATTTTATTGCAGTCCCTGTAGCAGACATAAGACACGATGCAGGTGACTGATATCGCACCGCATACAAATCCGAAAAAGGCGGTGGGGAAGGAGGACCGTCTCGCCCAAACCCGACGGAGAAGGAACACCCTAGCGAAAATCCCGAGTGAAATTAACAGGATGCCAGTGGCAGCGCCAATATCCAGTATTCATTACGGAAAGGGGCCGTTTCATGACCTACTTTACAGACAAGCTCCCTTTTGCACCCGACCGACAGTCGGGTCAAAGGTTGTGTTTTGTGCGCTGCTCCCGAGCAGGCCGCTAATCAGGGCATTGGTTGGCGTTCCTCTCCATGTGTCCAATGCGCAACCTCTTGCACACTCATCCCCTTTTTTTATTTTTACTAACTTTGCCTGGCTTTGCCACTCTTTGCAGATACACCGCAATAAGTGAGAAGAAAAAGTGTAAGGAAAAAAGAGAGTAATTAAGGTAAGAAAACATGTTCGCTCGTCGTTTGTGCGGAGCAGGCAGCCTTGCGGCCGCGTCACTGGCTCGCTGGCAGTCGTCGAAGGTGACCGGCGACGTCATTGGCATTGACCTGGGCACGACGTACAGCTGCGTCGCTGTGATGGAGGGCGACAAGCCGCGCGTGCTGGAAAACACTGAGGGCTTCCGCACCACTCCATCCGTTGTTGCCTTCAAGGGCCAGGAGAAGATGGT